ACCCACCTCTCACCTGGTCGTGGGAGTATGGCACTCCCAAGAAGTGGTCAAAGCCCTGGTGGGTGGGCAGGAAGGAGCCATTAACACCCACACCAAGGTGCCACTTGCCAACCATGGCTGTCGCATAGCCCTTGGCCTTCAGCACCTCTGCAACAGTGACCTCAGACAGCGGCAGGCCGCCCCGGGACTCTGGGTCAAACACGCCGGGGTAAATCCCGGAGCGCATCTGGAACCGGCCTGTCAGCAGGGCTGCCCTGCAGAAGAGATCGGAGAGGCAGGAGACAGCCGTGAGTCCCGGCACAGCACAGTGCACGCCCCGCACTGCTCCGCAGCCCTCACCTCTTCTCACAGCGGGCCCCTCACCCCTAGGGACCCAGAGCCCCGGCTCCCCGCCCTCACAGCTGCCGCTGCCAGCCCCCTGCCACAGGGCCGCCTCCCGCGGCGCCGGGGCTTCACCGCCCGCCCCTGCAGCACCGCGGGTCGCCCAGCGCCGCCTCGGTGCCTCCCCCCGGCCCGCAGCAGCTCCAGTACCGGGCCGGGCTGCACACCGGGGCGCTGCTGTAGAAGCTGGTGAACCGCAGCCCCCCAGAAGCCATCCGGTCCAGGTTGGGCGTGGCGGAAGAAGGGTGCCCGTAGCTCCCCAGATCCCCGAAGCCCAGGTCGTCTGCCAGCAGCACCACGAAGCTGGGGAGGGCGCCGGCCGCCCCGCGCAGCGCCGCCACCAGCAGCAGCAGCAGGGCCCGCAGCGGGACCCAGCCCCGCGGCCCCATGGCGCTGCCGCCGCCTCGCGCGGGCTGTGCCGGGCGGGCGCTCAGCTGACCCGCGCGGCCAGACACGTGACCCCGCCGCGCCGCGGGGCGTGCCGGGGCGGTGGCGGCAGGGGGGGGTCTCGCGGCGCAGAGGGGGCCCGGCCCCGGCCTGGGGCCGCTCGCAGGCTGAGGCCGCCGGGAGGCTGCTGGGGGGGCCGGTGGGCACCTCGGAGCGAGGCACCGAGCGGGGCCGGGCTGGGTGTGCCCTGGCCAGCGGGCCCGGCCTCTGCTCCGAGCTGCGTGCTCCCGGGTCGCTGCTGTCTGGAGGGAGAAGTGGCCGGGCTTCTCCCCGGGTGCCTGCAGGGCACAGCATCAATAGAGCGAGCTTTGTTCAGGGCAGACTTGGCCCTGTGGGAGTCCTGGTGCTTCTCCATTGGAGCGTGTCCAGCAGTGACAGAATTCCGTGCTTACCAACAGGGGCTGCTGGCACTGCTTGGCATGTAGAAGCCTGTATCCTTAAAGGTCAGTGACTCGCAGTCAGAATAAGGAAAGGAACATGCAAAGAGCAATAGCAGTTTTATGGTGGGAGTGCTGCACCTGAGAAGAATGCTGCTGTGCCTGATTTTGAGAAAGTTCAGAAGACAGGCACTGAAAATGAATTGGGGCCTAAGATCCTGAAGAGCACCGTCTGTTTAGCATACCCAGAATGAGATTAAAGCAAGATCAGAGATCTTGTACAAACGTGTACTGGTGGTGGGATGGGGTTAACCACACAGCAGGCAGAGGTGAGGACTTTCAGTCCAAAAACAAAGCAGGTGTAAAACTGGCTAAAGTCCTAGTCTGGATGTTGTCATGTGGATACAGCATATTTTGTATTCAGCCGGTGTAATCAGTCTGTTCTGGATTTTACCATTGTTACTAGTCAGCACTTCCTAAGACCCATCCCACTTTTACAACCACTTTACAATTTGCTCGGGAGCTCAGCTTCCCATCACTTCCTGGCCTCACCAGTTCAGACTGCTGATAGAGCTCCTGGCCTTCCCACCTGTCTCACCTTGTGCCTCCTGAAGGCCTGGCCCTGGCACAAGTAGGGTGCTCGGGCTGCTGCTTCTGCTGTGTTCACTGCCATCAATTATTCAGGGCTAAGAGGCAGAACGAGGGGGCTGTCACTGCAGCAGGAGGCAAAGCTGCTGTATAATTCATGTAGCCTACTTCATTCATAGAGCATTGCAGTGGTTGCCCTGTAGTGCCTGGCCATGGTGACTGTGGCACAAGGGGATGGTGGGCAGGATGCTGAGGGGAGGAGAACAACTGCAGTTCTGTGCTCTGGAAAGGCACAACATGAGGACAGTTTCAGGAACCAGACAAGGAGCAGGGAAGGACGTGAGGGACTGTGTGCACTGGTGACATAGTTGTACGGAGCCAAGCAAGGCACTGTGTGACTGCCTCAAGCTGCACCAATGCCAGCAAGCAGGGGTAGAACATACAGATGAACAGTGTCCAGTGTGGCTGGGCATAGAAGGGAAGGTCCAAGTGACTGCTGCTTTGCTGTGGGAGCCCACTCTGCAAGGACACATGCAGGCACGCTGTGGTTGGGAATGGTAAGGGTAGATTTTACAGGCTGAGTGCATGAGAGTGGATTGTGAGTTTGTGGGATGCTTGTTAGTTGTATGCTTGAGTGCAGCCCCACATATGCTGGGACTGTGCTCTGCATATGCATGTACCACTTCGGATGCACAGTGTGTGCGTGCATGCAGACAAGCGGGTGGGTGCACACTGTGCGTATGCATACTGGGCGTGCATACAGTGTGTGTGTCTGCGTCTGGTCTCTGCATGTTGTGCTTGTGTGCACAAGAAACAATGCCTTTACCAGCACCCACATAGTACAAAAAACACAACCCAGAACTTTTCTGCCTCTCCAGTTATCAGGACTGGTGTTCAGTAGTGAAACATACATGCAGATTTACTCCCTTGATTCATAGGCAGAGCAGATTCACATATCCTTCAAATAATAGCATGGGAATTAAGTCCATGTAATAGCTGTGGCTGGATGTCAAGCTCCTCAGCCACTCACTGAGACAGGCCTTGGGTCTTTTCCTGATCTGGATCTCCTGGTGCGTGCGCTAGTCCACCTTTAAGTTCACTGGTGCATTGCATGCACACCCACACAAGGACCCCACCAGTAGCTGGCTCTAGAGACACTTGGTGTTGCCAGCTGCTGTTGCCATGGACAGGGATGCCACCCACTAGATCAGGTTGCCCAGGGCCTCATCTAACCTGGTCTTGAACACCTCCAGGATTGGTGCATCTACTACCTGAAAGGAAGTTGTGGGGAGCTGTTGGTCGGCCTCTCCTCACAGATAACTAGTGATAGGACTAGAGGGAATGGCCTCAAGTTGTGCCAGGGGAGGTTCAGGTTGGAAATTAGGAGACATTTCTTCTCAGAAAGAGTAGTCAGGCATTGTAACAGGTTGCCCAGCGAAGTGGTGGAGTCACTGTCCCTGGGGGTGTTTAAGGAAAGGTTGGATGTGGTGTTTAGCAACATGGTTCAGTGGGTGACATAGGACAATAATTGGATCAGACGGATCAGACGGTCTTGGAGGTCTCTTCCAACCTCAATGATTCTATAATTCTGTGCTTCTCTCTGGGCAACCTGTTCCAGTGTCTCACCACCCTTACAGTCAAAAATTTCCTCCTAACCTCTAATCTAAATCTCCCCTCTTTTAGTTTAAAACTAGCTCCCCTTGTCCTGTCATTATCTGATTGAAGTTTCTCTCCATCTTTTTAATAAGATCCCTTTAAATACTGAAAAGCCACAATGAGGTCACCTTGGAGCCTTCCCTTCTTTAGGCTGAACGTCTCCAGCTCTCTCAGCCTTTCTTCGTAGGAGAGGTGCTCCAACTCCTTGATCACCTGCGTGGCCCTCCGCTGAACCTATTCTAACAGATCAACATCCTTCTTGTGCTGGGGGCCCCAGACCTGGATGCAGGACTCCAAGGGGGCCTGACAAGGGCAGAGTAGAGGGGGCCTATCACCTCCCCCCACCTGCTGGCCACTCCTCTGTTGATGCAGCCCAGGATGCAGTTGGCCTGGGCAGTAAGTGTGCACTGCTGGCTCACGCTGAATGCTCCTCAAGTCCTTCTCTGTAGGGCTGCCCTCACTGAGTTCTTCTCCCAGTCTGTACTCATACTTTCTGGGTGACTCTTTCTGCTTTGTGACCCATGGTCTGCACACAGCCTCATATTGCAAGTGCCACATATGGAAATCACAGAATCACAGAATTTCTAGGTTGGAAGAGACCTCAAGATCATCGAGTCCAACCTCTAACCTAACACTAACAGTCCCCACTAAACCATATCCCTAAGCTCTACATCTAAACGTCTTTTGAAGACTTCCAGGGATGGTGACTCCACCACCTCCCTGGGCAGCCTGTTCCAATGCCTCACAACCCTTTCGGTAAAGAAGTTCTTCCTAACATCTAACCTAAAACTCCCCTGGCGCAACTTAAGCCCGTTCCCCCTCGTCCTGTCACCAGGCACGTGGGAGAACAGACCAAACCCCCACCTCACTACAGCCTCCTTTAAGGTATCTGTAGAGAGCGATAAGGTCACCCCTGAGCCTCCTCTTCTCCAGGCTGAACAAGCCCAGCTCTCTCAGCCGATCCTTGTAGGACTTGTTCTCCAGGCCCCTCACCAGCTTCGCTGCCCTTCTCTGGACTTGCTCATGCACCTCGATGTCCTTCTTGTAGCGAGGGGCCCAAAACTGAACACAGTACTCGAGGTGCGGCCTCACCAGAGCCGAGTCCAGGGGGACGATCACCTCCCTAGCCCTGCTGGTCACACTGCTTCTTATGCAAGCCAGGATGCCGTTGGCCTTCTTGGCCACCTGAGCACACTGCTGGCTCATATTCAGCCGACTGTCCACCATCACTCCCAGGTCCTTCTCTGCCTGGCAGCTCTCCAACCACTCATCTCCCAGCCTGTAGCTCTGCTTGGGGTTATTGCGCCCCAGGTGCAAGGCAAATCCTTGCCTTGCACAGGAGATTGAATTAGGATGAGGCATGGTTAGCTGTGAAAATAGGCAGCTTTATTTCTTGAACTAAGTATATTTGAGTAAGTAAAACTAGAGGAGAGTGGGCAGGACGGAGCAGGCCTTTATCACTGGGGCTGCCTTTGGATTACCAGGCATTGCCCCTGAAGAAAATGGTTATAGTACACTGCAGCCTGCACTGGATCATGCTCAGCCTGCTGCTCAAGCATTATTTCCCTTTAGGGCATACAAGAGCTCCTGCACCCGACTAAAGAATTCTGTGAGTTTCTGAAGTGGAAATGGGCAGGAGTTAATCTTGCTTGCTTTTGTTGGCCTTGGCTTCGGCCTCTGGAAAGAAGTGGAGGCAGTCATAAAATGACTCCAATCCCGTGATGTTGGAGAGGTTCGTACTGATGTGTGCAGTCCCATCTGTACCAGGATCCATTCATAAAAGTGCTGAGTGGAGGTGTATACTCCAGGCCGGCGCATTCTAGCGCAGCCTGTCCCCCAGCTTGTCACGCCAACGAGCCAGAAGTAGTCAGCATTGTTATCTTTGCACACGAGAGGACCACCGCTGTCACCCTGCAGTAGAGGAGAGAAGCCTAAGCTGTTACTAGGTGTCCACTGTCAGCAGCAGAGCTGGCTCCTCTCTCCCAGCTCCTCCCAGAGCAGCATTCACAGCACAGAAAAGGTCTGCTTGGGTTCTGAGGCCTACAGTGGCTTTTCTGGGAGGAGGTTGTGGGCATGGAAGGTAGGTCTCTCTGTCTCTCCCCTATCTCTTGTGCAACAATCCCAGCTGTGGGAAGAAGGGTGTTCCAGGTGTGGGTCTACCAGGCACCAAGAACATTGCATGGGCTCTCTGGGCAGAGTCTTGGGGATGTGGGACAAGGGGGGCCTGGGCAAGGACCTGCAGATGGGGAAGGGGAGGTGAGCTGTGGAAGTGGTGGGGACCCAGAGCTAGAAGGGTGGTTTACATGTGCTGGTGTTCATTTGGGCAGGAATGTCAGGGCTAAATACATGGCAGTGTGCTGGCTTGTAGCATGCTCCTACCTGGCAGGTGTCGATGCCACCCTGCATATAACCAGCACACAAATTGTGGGTCTTGATGGCTCCTCTATACCACCGGCTGCTGTTGCAGAGTTTGAGGTCGATGAGATTGACCATGGCCTCCTGCAGGATATCAGGAGATCGTCCAGCTGCAAGCAGATAGAGGAATTGGCACCCGGCAACTCATTGCCAGTTCTTTCCCCCCCCCGCCTAGGTGAACCCCTTCCCTAAGTCTTGGCTTTGTGTCTTGAGAGGCACTGTGCTGATGTATCCCTTCTGTCTTGCTTTGGGAAATGGGTCAGGCCCATCTCTCTGTAGGCGTACTTCCCCATGGCTTTACCCTGGGTTGTGCCTCTGCCATCAGGGAAGCCCAACCCGTCTCCCCAGCATGCTAAACTTTCACTCTGGACAACAGTGTTTTTGGGAACTCACATCTTTCCAGTGTAGAACCCCAACCACTGATGTAGCAGTTTGACAGATCCATCACCCTCAGTGAGGCATCAGGCACGCAGGCAAGTTGTATATATTGACTGCACCAGACAGGTTGGTCCAATTCCAGCAGTGCAATGTCGTGCCCTGATTTGATACCTCTATAGTATTCATGCATCAGTAGCCGCTTAATATTGCGCACTTCAACCTCAGGGCCCAGCTGAGACAACCGGTTGGCACCGACCACCACACGCCACATGGTGACATAACTGGAAGGAGACAGAGAAAGGGGTCAGAGGAAGGCAGAGCCATGTCCTGTAGCAGCCCAGCAGTTCCCCTGCTTTGTGGAGGAAAAAGGAAAGCAATGGTATGAGGGCCGTGATAGCCCTTGTGTGCTTTGGGCACAAGGAACATTGACATGGAGGCTGCTAGGAAGCTTGGCGTGAACCAAGCCTTCTCACAAGCAGCTCCTCAGCTGGGTTTTGCAGTGCCCAGGCACTGGCCATATTGCAGGGAAACAGATGGGCCCTTACCTTGCATTTTCGAAGCAGTGTGCTGCTGTGAGGACCCACTGTGGGCTGATGAGGGACCCTCCACATACATGCCCAACACCTGAATACCAGGGATTTTGGATGCTGACGATCCAGGGCCAGGCTCCTGGCTGGGCATTCGTGCCGCCCACGACGCGCATCATGCCGTAGTGATCAGCCATCGGGCGGAGCCCGCAGGTCCTGTAATCAGAAACTCTTTAGTGCCTTGCTCACCTTTCCTTTGCTCTGTTCATGCTGAACGTGAGCCACCTTCCCTCCCCAGGAGGCACAGTGTGGACAGTGGGGCCCCTGGGTCGTGTCTGGCCATGCCCATTTCTGCTTTAGCCCTGTGGATGAGTTGTGCCAGCAGCCTGGATGCTGGTGAGGAATCGAGCTTCCCCCATGGGGTCTTGGAAGCTCTGCTGTGGTACAGGGGACAAGGGGACATCCTCCAGTGAACTCCGTAAGGGTCCCCCCAGGCTCCCTCCCAAAGCCTCAGACTACTCACACACAGTTGCTTGATGAGCCTTGCACAAGCCAGCCCATGGCCAGCAGCAGGAGGAAGGGCAGCACATTCATCATTCCCAATGGCAAGAGGCAGCTGCTCGTGCCCTGGGCTTGTTGCCACCAACACAGCAACCGATCGTGGTGTGGTGCCCGCGTTGCCCACGGAGCCCTCAGCGCCAACGCCGATGTCACAGAGCCCCTGGTTCCGGGTGCCGGGCACGGCTGTGCCGGTGCCACCTGGGTGGCTGCATAGGGGGGTTCCAGGCAGGAAAGGAGGTGGAAGCTGGGCTTGGGCTCAGCCCAGCCCCAGACAGACACCTTAATGCTCTTCTGGTGGCACGAGTGTGTGCAGGCCACATGGCAGGCACAGCTCATGGCTCCAAGCACTGCCTGCTGACAGCTAGCAGGAGACACCAAAGCATGATTTTGTAACCTCTGTGGGAAGCTCACTGCCACCCTGTTCTCTGCAGCTGCTTACCAGCAGGTTCTCCCCAAAGACACACACCAGAGAACATAACTCCTGTAGACAGTATGCATGTCTGAGCACTGAGGAGCTAGGCTGGATACAGCTGTGGCAGATGAGCAGTGAGTGACATGCAGATTCAATGAATCCTGTGATGCATGCCATGTCCATGCATGAGTACACAGATGTGTTGATTTGCCTTTTGGTGGTTTCCACTCTGAGTGTGCACATACCAGGCACTGTTTGCACTCTGAATGGGTGCACTCTGTATCTATGTACACACATCGTGTGAGTGCACCTTGTACACATTCATTGTGGCATTGGTGATTTGTGTGTGCAGACTGTGAATATTCATTCTCAGATTAATGTGTGCATGCCATGTGTGCCTGCTTTCCATATTGTACAAGGGATTTGTATGTGCACTCTGTGCACATTAATTGGTTCTGGTGTGCAATGTGTATTGGTGTGTGTGTGCTGACGTGCAGTGTGTTTGTGCGTGTGTGTGCATTGGTGTGCAGAATGTGTGTGCATGTTAGTTTGAGGTCATACTCTGTGTGTTGATGTGCAGTCAGGCTGTGTGTGTGTACATTTTGGCACGCTGTCTGCACGTGCATGTGTGCAGCTATTGGTGTGCAGCATGTGATAGCGTGCAGAGTGTTTGTTATACACGCGTTGGTGTGCGGTCCATGTGCATTGCGTGTGCGTGTTGGTGTGCAGTCTGCGTACCTGTGGGGGTGCAACCTGTGTTTGCGGGGTGCGGTGTCCCCGTCGGGACCGTGCCGCCAGGGGTCGCCGCCGCCCGTCGCGGGGTCCCGGCCCCGAGGTGCGGGCGGGCCGTGGTCCTCTCCCCCGCGGGCCGTGCCGGGGGTGGGGGCTGTCCCGCCTTGTGTCCCCATGCTGGGGGTGGGAAGTTGTCCTCCCGGGGACACCCCCACTGCCGGCGCGGCTCGGGACCCCCAATTTCCGGCGGGCGGGCGGCAGCCGGCCGGGGCGGCGGGAGCGTGGGGGATGCGCATCGCGGGGAGCCGGAGCCGCTGCAGCTCCGGGCTTTGCGGGGGAACCAGACACCTCGTGTGTCCGGAACTTTGATCTCAGGTCCTAGGGCCACTTGCCGTTTTGACGAGCCCTGTTTCCTCCTGGAACGAGGGGACGAGGGAGGTCCTCGCCAGCTCCTTTCGGGGTGGCAGTCTCACCGGGACTGCCAGGACCAGGCTGGGCTGGCAGGAGCTGCAGGGATCGCAGAGCAGAGGTGAGAACAGCATGGGCAATGCCCTTGGTACTTCTGATGCCGACAGGGCTCTGGACACCCCGGATTGCAATATTCCTCTTCTCCAGGGAACATGTCAATGCAGAGGAGGGGTGGGAGGTAAGGAGGGAGCTTCGCGGTGGGGGAGGTGGAGAGCACCAAGGAGTGGAGAGGACAACCTCGGGGTAGACGTGGGGTGTGGGCAGCACTCCTGTTCTGCACATGCACGGGAATAGCTGCCAGAGCTTGGGTTGCACCTCTGGAACAGCCTTCTTGCATCTCTCTCGTCCTCCACCTGCCAAGGCTGGTGGGCCTGGCAGCAGCTGCTGCTGCTCCTCTTCAGCACTGTTTCACACCCTGCCTGTGCCTCCTTCCGCACAAAGCTGCCTCTGAGCCAGCCTGATGCTGCTCCCTCATAGCTGGGTCTCACCCATGCTGCACTGATGACAGGGGTGCTGTCATTGGTGTGTGACATTGGTGCTGAAGGGACAGGAGCGTGTCCCTGAGGCTGCCTGGTGCTGAGAAACAGGGGAAAACTTGCCGTAGAGTTTGAGGGCTGTGAACTGCAAGGACAAGGGTTTGCTAGGCAGAGCAGTAGGGTATGAGGGAAATTTGGACATCCACAGAAGAGAGGTGAGGCAACTGCTGCACCAATGACAGGCTCTGGTTCCTTCTCTGCCCAAGCATCAGTGTTCATGTGGCACTATTGTGAAGGCTGAGTGCAGCTACATGGACAGTCACATTTCATGAGAGAGCACTTGGAAATCTCTTGCGTAGCAGCCAGCTCTCTTCTTTGTGCTTCAAGATGCCTGTTTCTGAAGGTCTAGGAGTCTTTTGCTGGCGAAGCAGAGCAGCAAGAGGGTGCTGTAGAGTGGTGGATGGGATGCAGGGCTCATCATTAAGCTGGAGTGATGCTCAAGGTGCTGCAACTAGCAGAAGGGTGCTGAAAAATGGGGTCCCAGGGACATTGATTAGCTTGGGCTGTTTGGAGAACTTGCACGAGTTGTTTTGGTGTGCTGGTTATGCAGAGCACTGCAAAAACCCAGTGACTATAGACAGGGCTAGAAGCAAGCCAAGTCCTCTGTCCACAGGGGGCCAGGCCATGTAGATAAACAAGAAGTTAAGTGAGTTCCCAGAATGGGGACCAATGTGCCAACAGCACATGCAGCCACAGCCTGGAGTGCACAGGGCATGTGGATGATTGCTGCCTGAGCAACAGGGATGTGGAATCGCACAAGTGAGATATGTGTGTGGAGAGGCTATCATCGGGGGCATGGGAAGAGGGATGAAGTTCAGAAGAGTCTGTATCCCTCCCAGAAGAATGGCCAGAGTTACTGCTGCTTCCTGACGTGGGGAGCCCTGGTCCTAGACCAGTGCCCTGCTATGCCAGTGTGAGGACTTGTGGCAGAGATTGTCCCCAGCAGATGGCCTCACTGTTCCTGGACTGGGGGCGGTTCTGGGCAGACATCCTGCAGCTTTCAGGTGGCAGATGGATCTGGGATGTCCCTCTTCAGCCTAGTACCACCCCTCACATGCCAGCTGGAGTCTCCTGCTGGGCCTCTTCAATCCTGTTCCTGACATTATTTTCCATAGACCATGTCTGCTACTTTCTATCTGCATGCTTATGCCGTGGGCTGCGTGACAGAGATGATCTGTGTGGTGGAGAATGCTGCTGGGCAGCTGGTCATGCAGAACAAACTGTCTCAGGATGGAGCCCTTGTCTCTGCATGCATACTGCTTGCAGAGCAACAGCAAAGCAGTTATGCTGTGTTCTGTGATGAAAAACACAGCTGCCCGCCCCCAGGGCTAGAAAAATCTCTGAAGGACCATTCCCTTGCATAGGTATGTGGGACACCAGGAGTCATGGAGTGGCTGGCTCACCTTGGCAAGGAAGGACAGTGCTGTGAGAAGCTGTCACAAAATCAGAATGGTTGAAGTTGGAAGGGACCCATGGAAATTGTTGGAAGGGACCTCTGAAAGGACCCCAAACTGCTCAAGCAGGGCCACCCAGAGCAGGTTGCCTAGGACTGTGATCAGTCAGATTTTTTGTCTCCAAGGACAGACACTCCAAAACCTCTCTGGGAATCCTGTGCCATTGCCAAGTCACTCTCAAAGTAAAACAAGTGTTCTCTTGTGTTCAGATGGAAAAAACATGACTGTACCCAGCACTGACCCCTGGGGTATGCCACTAGTTACTGGTCTCCAGCTGGACTTGATGCTGCTGTTTACCAACATCTGGGCTCACCCTATCAGACAGTTTTCAGCCTACCTCATATTCCACTTTCCTAATCTATACTTTGTTAGCTTGCCTACAAGGGTGTTGGGAGACAGTATGAAAAACATTATTCAACTGAAGCTGAACAACATCCACTGCTATCCTTCATCCACCAAGGCAGTCATCTCATTGTACAAGGTTATCAGAATGGTTAAACACAATTTCCCCTATATAAATCCTTGCTCTTCCATCCTGCCCTGGCACCTAGCACCTGTCATCTACACCCATTTTAAGGCTGAATTTTTCTATAAGCTGTGCTGGGGAAGCCGATGCCTGCCAGAGCTGACAAGTGGGGTGCAGCTGGTTGAAACTATCCTGGGCTGCAGAACAATGGGATGGCTATGGCAAGGTGAAGGGCCACTATGTCTGCATGGCCTCTGTGGAGGCTACCAAAGCCCAGAACAACAGGGTAGCCACCTGCCCAGGTCCTACTGGGCTGAAGAGGAGACCAGGGTGCTGGAGTCATGGGGCCTAACCCTGGGGGCTGGCTGCAGTGTAGGAATGGGATGACACCCCTTGCTGTTGGGACTCAGAGAAGGGTCTGATGTCTTTCCTATCTGGACCCAGGGCTGTGTCAGGTGCATTTCCACCATGCAGGAGGGTTTCTCTTTCTTCAGAGCTTTCTAAGAGCAATGGTGTCCACCTCCATGAGCACAGAGTGATGGATGCAGCTTTTGCCACTCTTCATGTCTGGGTAGGTCTTCCCAGAGAGGCTGAACATCTTCTTAGCTCCACAGAATTAGTGCCTGGGTTGTCATCTCAACCACACAGCAGCCTGAAAATGAAAGGTTAAATGAAACAAGCTTACAGCATGGTTCTGTCTGAGCTCACAAGAAAGTTCCTCTCCAATAAGAGTCACTCCATGCTCAGTCTCAAGGTGCATGTGGCCACTGCCTGCAGAATGTCCTGCACTGTGTCATGCTGGAAGCCATCTTCACCTGCCTGCCTATGCAGAGCTGGGTACCTGCTCCCCTTTCACTGTTTGTCACACTTGCTTTTGCCTCCCCACCCCAGAGAGCAGGCTGGTTGCACTGGGCTTCTCACAGCATCTCACTGGACACCTTGTCTGTGCCTCTGGTGAACGTGCCCACACTCAGCCTGGCACTGTGGGGCAGGCACGCACCTAGAGCAAGGTGCTTGGCCGCCCTTGCCTTGGGGGCAACTTTGTCCCTAGCTGTCAGTTCAGAGCCTTCCTAGGTCACACAAAGAGTGATGGGGCCATGCGAGCCAGGACCATGGTGTCAGAAGAGATGATATGGGACAGAGCATGGCAGGGACTGACAACAGCAGGCCATCCAGGCTGTCATGGTGCATGCAGCCCTGCTCAGAAAAGCTCTCTCTGCTGTCCCTCCAGCAGTGGGCTGGGAAGCCAAGGTGCTGCTAATTCTCTGGGTCTGGGGGGAGCCAGTAGGGGGAGGCTGGCTGTCCCTGGGTCTGGCTGTGTCCCTAGGCTGCCCTGCCCTCAGAAGCTGCTGCCCTGCACCAGCACGAGGACGCTCTGGCCACATTGCTGGCCTCTCACAGGCCAGTGGCACATGGCCCAGTGAGTAGGTGCCTGCCTCCTACCCATGTACACTGCCATGTCCCAGTGGACCAGGGA